CAAGTATGAGCAATGAGAAAGTACAAAGATAATTATTTCTCATATCTTTAGCTTCACTTAAGAGTGTACCACCTCTGCTTCCCACATGAAAGTTAAATAATCATGTCTATTCATATTTAACATTTATAGCTACACTAAAGGCCCAATGCATGAAATTTGTGCAAGGGACTCCTAGGCTGCTGCCCCAGCCCTCGCAGTGGCAGCCCCAGAAGGACGTCCGGAAGGATGTCTGGTCTAATTCGCATATTATGCTTTTATTATTATAGATTTTTAATTAATGTTGTATAGCCTAGGTGAGTGGTCAGCAAACTGCAGCCCCTTGAGTGTGGCTCTTCCACAAAATACCATGTGCGGGCGTGCATGTACAGTGTGATTGAAACTTCGTGGCTACACTCAAGGGGCCAAAGAGCCGCATGTGGCTCTTGAGCCGCAGTTTGCCAACCACTGGCCTAGGTTGTTTTTCAGAATTTAGGAGGCACACATCTTATCACTCACTTCCCCTTTGAATGCCATATAAGAAGGGAAAATCTGTAAAATAAGAATGACTTTTAAAAGTAAATGAATTAGAGAGAACCAAGATGGTGGCAGAGGTAAACACCTGTATTTGCTGCCTCTCACAACCACATCAAAATTACAACTAAAAGACAGAACAACTATCATCAAGAACCGCAGGAAAGCTGGCTAAGTGGAAGTACTACAAAGAGAGGTGAAGAAAGCACATTGAGACTGGTAGGAGATACGGAGGTGCGGAATGGGCTGGCACCAGGGTGTGCTGCTTTTTTTAATCGGGAGGGAGATACAAGCTCCCGCTTGCTCTGAACTCCAGTTCCGGGCGAGACTCTGGGGGACCCAGACACATACGGGAAGAAACTGGACTGTCTGGCATCGGGGCAGGAGCACGAGGGCGGCTTTCCAGACGGAGGTGCTCGCAGCGGTCATTGTTCCTGCGCTGGGACCTCTCTGGTGCAGGGCTGACTGGCAGCCATTGCTGTTTGCTCCGCCCTGGGGATTCCCTGAGACCCCACCCAAGCTATGCTCAGCGGCTATTGCATATGAATAGCCTGTGCTTTCTCAGCCTAAAACCTGTCATAAACAGGAAGCAGCTGGGTCAGGGGGCCCCAAAGCTATCAAAAGAAGGCCCAAGAACCAGCACCTTGCTTCACAGCTGGGCCTCTCTGGGCACTTCCAAACCCAATACAAAGAGGAGGAATCTGCAGACCTCTCTGTAGCTCTTGCTTGGTGGCCCCAGGCAGTGGCTGACTTTGCACTTCCTTGGAGATCCAAGAGCCAGTGTATCCAGTGGTCAGTGTGAGACCATACCAGATTACAACTCTTCACATCCATAAGTGACACACTCAAGGGGCAGACTCAGTGAGCACCAAAGCCCCACTGAAGCATGTCCTGCACCATAAGGGTATATCTCCTGCACAGCAGCTCTTCCATTGTAGACATAGCTGGTGTTCTCACAGCCAATTGGCCTGGAGGTCAATTCCTCCCAGTGACACCAACAACAATCAAGGCTTTACTACAGGACTGTGCACACAGCCCACAAAGGGTTGCACCAAGAGTGTCCACCTCAGGTGATTGGGGAGGCTGAGCCACTGGGCCCTAAGGACACCTACCACACAAGGCCACTCTGTCAACTCAAGGAGACTTAGCAGCTACCCAATACATATAAAACAAACACAGGGAAGCAGCCAAAATGCGGAGACAAAGAAACATGTCACAAATGAAAAAAATGGAAGAAAGCAAAATGCTGGATATAGAGTTCAAAACCACAGTTATAAGGTTACTTAAGAATCTTCTAGAACAGGGGTGGGCAGACTTTTTGACTCGAAGGCCACAATGGGTTCTTAAACTGGACCGGAGGGCCGGAACAAAAGCATGGATGGAGTGTTTGTGTGAACTAATATAAATTCAAAGTAAACATCATTACATAAAAGGGTACGGTCTTTTTTTTTTTTTTTTTAGTTTTATTCATTTCAAACGGGCCGGATCCGGCCCGCGGGCCGTAGTTTGCCCACGGCTGTTCTAGAAACCTGTGAGGAATTTAGTGAGACCTTCAAGGATCTTAGTGAGAATGCCAAAAAAATGGAAAAGGACCAGTCAGAAATTAAGCATATACTGACCGAAATAAAGAATAATATACAGAGATTCAACAGTAGACTAGAGCCGTGGTCTGCAAACCGTGGTTCGCGAGCCACATGCGGCTCTTCGGCCCCTTGAGTGTGGCTCTTCCACAAAATACCACGTGCGGGCGTGCACGTACAGTGCGATTGAAACTTCGTGGCCCATGCGCAGAAGTCGGTATTTTGTGGAAGAGCCTGTATTTTGTGGAAGAGCCACACTCAAGGGGCCAAAGAGCCGCATGTGGCTCGCGAGCCGCAGTTTGCCGACCACTGGACTAGAGGATCCCAAGAATCAAGTCAAAGATTTGAAATACGAGGAAGCAAAAAACACCCAACCAGAAAAGCAAAAAGCAAAAAGAATCCAAAAATATGAAGATAGTGTAAGGAGCCTCTGGGACAACTTCAAGCGTACCAACATCCAAATTATGGGGGTGCCAGAAGAAGAGAGAGGGCAAAATATTGAAAACGTATTTGAAGAAATAATGACAGAAAACTTCCCCTACCTGGTGAAAGAAATAGACTTACAAGTCCAGGAAGCGCAGAGAACCCCAAACAAGAGGAATACAAAGAGGACCACACCAAGACACATCATTAAAATGCCAAGGGCAAAAGACAAAGAGAGAATCTTAAAAGCAGCAAGAGAACAACAGTCAGTTATCTACAAGGAAGTACCCATGTGACTGTCAGCTGATTTCTCAACAGAAACTATGCAGGCCAGAAGGGAGTGGCAAGAAGTATTCAAAGTGATGAATAGCAAGAACCTACAACCAAGATTACTCTATCCAGCAAAGCTATCATTCAGAATTGAAGGTCAGATAAAGAGCTTCACTGATAAGAAAAAGCTAAAGGAGTTCATCACCACCAAACCAGTATTATATGAAATGCTGAAGGGTATTCTTTAAGAAGAGGAAGAAGAAAAAGGTAAAGATAAAAGTTTATGAACAACAAAGTGACAAATACATATCAACAAGTGAATCTAAAAATCAAATGAATAAAAAATCTGATGAACAGAATAAACTGGTGAAAGTAATAGAATCAGGGGCATGGAAAGGGAGCAGACTGACAGTTTTTTGGGGGAAGGGGTGTGTGAGGTACAGGAAGAGATTGGGCAAAGATCTTACACCTATTGATGAGGACCATGGAGGGGTGAGGGCCTGGGGGGCGGGTGGGAACTGGGGGGAGGGGAGCTGGGGGGGGGGAACATCTGTAATAATCTGAACAATAAAGATTTTTTAAAAAGTTAGTGAATTAATGAAATCTCCGTTACTGCTTCTTCTGGAAGTGAAAAAAATGCAGATTTTGTAATGTTAGTAAACCTACTGTATGCATGTCACATTGATAGGTTGTGTAGTGTATAAGAAATGAGTAATTCTTGCTTTTAAGAAATGTATTGCCAGTAATTTGGAGGTAGGGTGGGAATTAGGCCAGTAAACCCCCTTACCCTCCCCCCCCCCCCCAAAAAAAAAGGAATAAGTCAAGAGTTCATACAGAAATTTTCCCAAGCCCTGGCCAACGTGGCTCTATAGAAAAATCTTCTCAAGCCTTGACCAATATAGCTGTTGGTTGGAGCATTGTACCGTACACCGAAGGGGGGTGGATTTGATTTCCCGTCAGGGCACATACCAGGTTTCGGGTTCATCCCCCATCTGGGGGAGTACAGGAGGCAGCCAGTTGATGTTCCTCTCTCCCCCCCCTCCCCTTCCCCCTCCCTTCTCTGAAATCAATAAAAATATTTTTTTGAAAAAAAAAATAGGAGATGAAATTGGAAGGATAGATTGGGGTCAAACTGGGTAAGCATTGGGGCAGTGTCTATGGATAAAGAAGGGGAAAGATGTGAAAGATGTGGAGCTGCACTGTCCTATATGGTAGCCATTAGCTACATACAGCTATTGTGCCGGCCCAAATTGAGATGTACTGTAAGTTTAAAATAGATACCAGATTCTAAGATTTAGCACACACACAAAAAAACCACATGAAACATCTCATTAAAAACTTGTATATTGATATGTTGAAATAATTATATTTTAGATGTATTGGGTTAAATAAAATTTACTAAAATTCTACCTGTTTCTTTTTATTATTTTTAATGTGGCTCCTAGAAACTTTATATTGTGGCTCAGATTACATTTCTATTACATACTGCTGGTATAGGTTGGAGTATAACTAGTATTTGCTAGCACCTACTATGTGCCAGATGTTATCTAGAACTTGTAATAAATGAGTTACTCCTCAGAAAACCTTATGAAGTAGGTGGTATTATTATCCTCCTTTTTCAAGTAACTGAGGTCCAGAGAGGTTAAGCAACATATCTAAATGACTCCACTAGTAAATAGAAAGCCAGGATTCAAACTTGGGTCTCTCTGGCTTCAGAACCCATGATTTTCCCTATTCATTGTGGCATGTTTTCATTGGACCATTAAAAGTGGTTGTGTTGCCCTAGCCGGTTTGGCTCGGTGGACAGAGTGTCGGCCTGCGGACTGAAGGTTCCCAGGTTCGATTCCGGTCAAGGGCATGTACCTTGGTTGCGGGCACATCCCCAGTAGGGGGTGTGCATGAGACAGCTGATCGATGTTTCAAACTCTGTATCCCTCTCCCTTCCTCTCTGTAAAAAATCAATAAAATATATTTAAAAAAAAATAAAAGTGGTTGCGTTGGAGAATGACATAATTGGAATGATGCCTTAGCAGATAATGAGGGGAAGAGATTTCATCTTTAGCTGTCTGGTTTTTATTTTTGTTTTGTTTTGTTTTTTTAATGTTACTTTTTGCAGGAGAAAAATGCTTTGTTTAAAGTTAACTTTTGAATTGCATCTTTTTGATATATCCTTTATGTTAACTGCTTCTCAAAGTATTTACCTTATTTCTATTGTAGATTTTATAATGGGCTGCATTAAAAGTAAAGAGAATAAAAGTCCAGCAATTAAATATAGAACAGAAAACACTCCAGAACCTGTCAGTACAAGTGTAAGCCATTATGGGACAGAACACACTCCAGCAACACCATCATCTTCAGCAAAGGGAACATCTGTTAATTTTAACAGTCTTTCCATGACACCATTTGGAGGATCCTCAGGGGTGACACCTTTTGGAGGAGCATCTTCCTCATTCTCAGTGGTGCCAAGTTCATATCCTGCTGGTTTAACAGGTGAGATTTAAATGGACAATTCTGTTGTAAATTTGAGAATATGACCTTGGGCAATACATGCATAAGGTTTGCCTGCTGTAAGAAAAATAACTTACTGGTTGACTTTTTAAATAAGTTTGTTATTAAAGTCTCTTAACATAAAAATTAAAGTGTTATTGTATTGTTTTGGGAAATCTGGTAATAAACTGATAGTGATTACACCATTAAGAATTTCATTAACTCATTTTTCAAGTAATTATTAGGTGCCTACTGTGTGGCTGGCACTGAGGATATAAAGATTTAAAAAATACAGCATAGGGAATATAGTCATAATTTTGTATGGTATCAGATGCATACTAAACTTAACCGGGGTGATCACTTCATGAGATATATAAATATCTAATCACTATGTTGTACACCTAAAACTATATCAACTGTAATTGAAAAGTAAATTTTAAACATACCTCTCCCTCAAGAATGTTGCAGTTTCTCAGGATTGTAAAGTGCTGTCCTCTATTAGTAATTACAGTCAAACCTCATTTCTAGAACATCTCCCATCTCAAACAGTGCGATTCTCCGAAGAATCGCAGAAGAAATGTCTCAGTTGTTGACCAAAACTTCAGTTTTCAACATGATAACCCTTTTATGCTCATACCTCAGCATGACAAAAAGCGTCTCTCAGACAACAAAGAAGAGAATGCTTTTGTTGTTGGAGAAGTCAATGATTAACACAGTTTTAAAACATAAAGACCATCAAGAGTATTTATGTTGCTAAGGTTGTGAAAGTGCTCACAAAAAAACGACCACAGGCAATTGAATAGGTAGAAAAACTGTTGTTGATTGGATAAATGAAAAACAGCCAGTGGTAGCATTTTGGAGGCAGTGATATATTAAAAATTCATTTAAGGCTAGTAGAGATGGTTCGATAAATTTAAGAAGTGTTTATAGATTAAACAGTACATTAGACATTGTATTATATATAAGAAAGGTTAAATAAAACGGAATTATTTGGGGGTCTGGAACGGATTAATTCAGTTTACATTATTTCTAATGGGAAAAAATTATTCGGTTTTTGAACAAATCGCTTGTCAAACATGTATGCAAATTAAGTTCGAGAACCGATGTTCCACTATACTTAAATGTTAATTAAATGGCAAAATGGTGATGATAATACAGTTTTTCTATTAGGTACTAGTGATTTAAAAGAGAAAAATTCTGAGGCTCAGAGTTTAAATGATTTTTTTTAGAGTCAAAGATAAGCAGAGAGAGCCCAGATTTAATGTCCTATTCTAGAACTCCATTTATTATTTATATCATAATATCCTTTCAAGAACAGCAAGAAGTGAGAGCTGACAACCTTTAATGGAGCCAGAAATGCCCTAAAAAAAAGTAGTCAAACTTTAAAAAGGGAGTTATTTTATGAAGGATCCCATATTAGGATGCTTTTCCCTTGAGTAACAAAACATACCTGGCTTAAAAGGTAGAATGAACTCCAGGATTCCTTCATGTCATCAACAACTCAAGTTTCTTTGATCTCTCTCCTGCAGTCCTTGGATTTTCCACTTTATCTTCAGACTTAGGACAAAACAGTTGCCAGCATCAAATTGAGCAACATGTTTCCTTACTAACAACCACTGGGGACAAAAGAGGACTCTCTTCTACAAGCATGGACTATAAATGTGTCCCTTCAGTCTGCTTGCTTCTGAACCAATAATAGTGACCAGAGGGATGCCATACACTAATTCTATTAGACTGTTCCTGTGGGGAGTTATGGACTTCAAAAAGTCAATTACAATCTAATTCCAGCCCCCTAACTCTAAATACTTCAGTAACAGATGGCCATGATGGTATTTATCAGTCATCAGCAAAAATTTTAATTATCTTCAGGATTATATGTTTGGGAAAGACAGTAATCCAAAATGATTAAAGTAAATATTGATAACTTTAAGACAGAATTTAGTGACCTAAAGCAGTTTATATATGTGAAATAGTTTGTTCGTGGATATTAATTTATTAATAAATATGGAGTGTCTGTATGCCAGTTATAGAGTTATGAGAGAAACAAGGTTTCTGCCCTAAAGGGTTGGACAGTAATTATATAAACAACTATTCAGTGTGATTAACAGTTCTCAAGTGCTATGAAAGAACTAACCAGAACATTGGTGAAGGCCTTTTAGATGATCAAGGAATGGCATCTTGACAAGAAATTATTTGAGCTGTTTTATTATTGAGAATGATCTAAACCTATGCAGAACTGGGAAAAGAGCTTTCTGCAAAGTTTAGGAGGTACACATGGACTTGGCAGTTTTTGAAGAGTAGTAAGGAGGCCCATATGAACAGAGGGTAGAATTGTATGATTTGGGATTAAAGAGGATTACTCAGGACCTTGTAGACTGGTAAGAAGTTTGGGTTTTATTCAGAGCCAGAAAGAAGCTATTGAAGACATTTCAGTTAAGGATTTTGATGATTGAATTGCCTTTTAAAAGAAACTCATTCTGGCAGATGTAGGGAAGCTGATATACAATGAGTTAGGAGGCTACTGCTCTCAGAAGTCCCAGTGAGAAGGAACAAGGGCTTGGATTAGGGTGGCAGCAGTAGAAATGGAAAAGGAAGTAGATATTTTAGAGGTAGAACCACTTGTCTTGAGTACCTGGTTGGTTAGTAATGCCATTTGCTTAGGTAGGGAAGACTCAGGTAACAGGCTAGAGGAGAAAAATCAACACCTTTGTTTTTGTAACTAATAAGTTTTAAATCCTTGTTAGACATTAGGTAGACATGTAAAAAAGGTAGTATTATATGACTGGAAGCCAGATAAATGAAATAATCTGTTTTATTCTTTGTTTTGTTTGCAGATAATAGTTTGGCTGTGTAAGTGTGCTAATCTCTTAAGCATCTGCACACAATGCTATATAAGATAGTTATTTTTGAAATTTATAAGTCATATCAGCCATACAATTTAATTGCTAAGAAAAACATGCCATTTTTTATATTTGAATGTTATAATAAAGTATCTTACTAAAACCTTAGTTATTACTGTTAATGTTTAGTTTTAAGGATTGAAATGTTCACTCATTGTTTATAAGGAATTTAGAGAATCAATGCCTGTAATTTGATGCTTTTTCTGCCAAAGAAGTGATTTGATCTTTGTCTTTCAAGCCAGAGAATCAAAATTAAATTTGTGTCTCTGGGTCTGAATTTTAAAATTTGTAGAGTATAATACGTCCATAGAAGGCCTTAAGAGAGTATCTTATTGCCCTAACCAGTTTGACTCAGTGGATAGAGCGTCGGCCTGCGTACTGAAAGGTCCCGGGTTCGATTCCGGTCAAGGGCATGTACCTTGGTTGCAGGCACATCCCCAGTAGGAGGTGTGCAGGAGGCAGCTGATCGATGTTTCTCTCTCATCGATATTTCTAACTCTCTATCTCTCTCCCTTCCTCTCTGTAAAAAATCAATAAAATATATATTTTTTTAAAAAAGAGTATCTTATTAATTTGAAAATGCCAGCTTCCCAATTTCCCACTTTCAAAAATAGATTCTGGAGACCAGGGGAAAAAAAACTATGCTTAAGCCTTTTTGCTGGCAGTGATTTTTAATTTCTCTTCTGTTAATTTATCTATATAATTTACCTTAGTCTTCTTTTCTTCCAATAGGTGGTGTTACTATATTTGTGGCCTTATATGATTATGAAGCTAGAACTACAGAAGACCTTTCATTTAAGAAGGGTGAAAGATTTCAAATAATTAACAATACGTAAGTGTTACGAATGAGAAATACTGACAGTCACCTGGTCTTTACATTGAAACCACTGAGCTAGTTAATGATTCAGAGATGAGAGTAGTGGGGTGTGGACCTCTGCCCATTCGGTTGGACAATGCATTTGTTTTCTTTAGACATATGGCAGAATACTACTGATGTAGCCAGAAGTTATTACTTCTATAAATCGTGTTGCTGTGGTTCTGCCATAAACAGTAGAGATTTAAGAATGAAGAGTGAGGGAGTATATGTAAGTAAGTACATTACTTTAAAAAATCTTTATAGCCGTTACCGATTTGGCTCAGTGGATAGAGCGTCGGCCTGTGGACTGAAGGGTCCCAGGTTCGATTCCGGTCAAGGGCATGTACCTTGGTTGTGGGCACATCCCCAGTAGGAGGTGTGCAGGAGGCGGCTGATTGATGTTTCTCATCGATGTTTCTAACTCTCTATCTCTCTCCCTTCCTCTCTGTGAAAAATCAATAAAATATATATTTAAAAAAATCTTTATAAAGAGAATTCTATATTCCTATTTATCTAAGTACTAGATGATTTAAATATCTTAAATATCTTATCTGTTTCTCCTTACAAAAAAAAAAAGGAAAAAGGCCAGGTAAGGAACCCCTGTAATCCCAAACTGACCAAATTAAGTGGCTTTTTCTGTATGTGACTCTTAGACTTTTTGTCATTTAGTGGCCCACCATAGAAAATTCATTGTTATTTATGGAAAAATAGATTCCATAATTTCATTAGCAAGCATAGCAGCTACTTTGTAACTTCTTAAAATATTTATTTATGGTCTTTTTGCTTCCAGTCATGTTTTCTTCCATCCTTATTCTCATTTGCTACCAGTTATTATTCCAGAACATAAAATATGTTCATGTCTCTCTGCTTTAAAATCTTTTAATAGTTACCAGTTGCCATCAGGATAAAGAAAAATAACAAGAATATTAGGCATTATTCATTGAGCTTCTTCCCCTTTCTCACTCCACTGCCTAGCCATGTTGAATTACTTGCGATTATCTGAATATTATGTGGTTTTTCACCTTCTCCAGGCCTTCACATATATGATTTTTTTCCCTGGAATGTGATTTCTCCTTTCCCTCCCCCCCTTCTTTATATGGCCAACCCAAATCATCCTTCAAAATGTTTATTCCTATGTCCTTTCTCAAGGAAGCCTTTCCTGACATTCTTCCTCTTCTGCCTGGCCCAGTACCTACCTCTTGCTGGATCAAGTGTTTTTTTTTAAAATGTTTACATAGCATCCTATGCAAACCTAAATCATAGCTGCCATTGCAGTTTCAAATGATAACTTATCACTTGCTTATTATTCTTTTAGACCAGTGGTTGTCAACATGTGACAAAATCATCCAGGGCACATTTGGCAATGTCTGGAGACATTTTTGGTTGTTACAGTCAGTTTGTTACTACTGTCTGTCATCTAGTGAGTAGAGGCCAGGGATATTGCTCAGCATCCTAGGATCCTACAATGCATAAGACATGCCCCCACAACAAAGAGTGATCTAGTCTAAGAAGTCAGTAGTGCTGAGGTTGAGAAACCCTACTACTCTAGACTGTGTTTCTTGAGGGTAAGGACTATCTTTTTACTCCTGTTTTCAGCATACCCTTTCATAAAGTCTGTCACTTAAGAAGGTATTCAATAAATGTTTGAATGAATCAGTGAATGGTTAGCAGGAAACTACAAACCAGGTATTTTAATTTATAAGTATTTGAATTACCAAAGGATTTTCCACTTCGTTTTCTAGAAAGTAAATGTACCTCAAGTATTTATAAAATTTCAATTTCAATAAAATATTTTCAGTATTTCTGTTAAAGCAAAACATGCATTTAATTTTTAGTAGTGAAACCCATTTTTGTATCTTGCTCATTAGAGACTGATATTTGCTTCTTCCACATTAATTTTGGAAAAGTCAAGGCTTATGTTTTCCAAATTACATATAGTTCTTGTGTTGTGAATTGCTTATAGTCTTACTTGCATATTTATGGATAGTATTTTTGTATATATTCTAAGAATTAAATTTTTTGTTGTTATTGCCCATTAAGATTTTGGCTACAGGAGTTCTAGAGCGTCCTGATTTTTCCCCCTAAAATGACTAAAAAGGAAGATCATAATTTTATACATTGTTAAAAATAAATAAAAAAGAATGGGCTGCTGATACATGCCATAACATAGGTGAACCTTGTAAAGATTATGCTATGTAAAAGAAGCCAGTCAAAAAAGATCATATATTGTATGATTGCATATATATGAAATGCCCACAATAGGTATATTCATAAAAACAGAAAGTGGATTAGTGGTTGGCATTGGTGGAGGTGGGACAGAAGAGGGATGGGAAGATTACTCTTAATGGATATGAGGTTTCTTTTTGGGGTAATGAAAACATTCTAAGATTGATTGTGGGATGGTTGTACAACTCTGTGAATATATTAAAACCCACTAAATTGTACATCTCAAATGGGGGAATTTTATAGAACATTTAATCAAAAATGAATAATTTGAAAGATTTACCTTCCAAATTGTCTTATTCAGTATAGTTTATTGTCTTAGGTTGAAAGAGTAATGTAACTAAAAGTGTAATTTTTTTTTGTTTTGCTTTGAAGCAGGAATGTAATTGTGCTTTTGCTTAGCTTTATTCCTTTAATTCATATAACCTATTTTTAAATATTATCCTTTGAGTTGATTCTTGATCACATGAATGCATAATTTAAAAAATGTATCCTTCAGCTACAAGACAACACTGCAGTACATCTATCTTAAGCGGTAGTCTACCTTGTGGTAACTGTTGTTTTATGTGTTGCAGGGAAGGAGACTGGTGGGAAGCAAGATCAATTGCTACAGGAAAGAATGGCTATATTCCTAGCAATTATGTAGCCCCTGCAGATTCCATTCAGGCAGAAGAGTATGGCACTACTTCATATTTTATTAATTGTTTTGATTTTAAAAATGTTTTAATGCACATTCTACTTAGCCACAACTTTACACACACACAATTACATATCAGTCTTAATACAGCTAATGTAACATATTAATAGGAAATGTTACTTAAAAATTAATAATTAATGCCATAGTACTTGCTTAGAGGATTATAAATGAATTTGCATTAATACTGTATTGTTATGCCTTTATCTTTTCACTTAAAAATTATATAAACCTTTTTTTTTGTATTCTGAGCGTTCTCTCACTTCAAAAATTTACCTCAGTTTGTAGTATTATATCAGTGTTAATTTATTGACTTAGGTGCCTGCTCCTATGTAGGGGAGAATCCTTGTCTTTTAGAAAGTATGCCTTGAAGGATTTAGGGTAATGATTCAGCATGTTTGCCACTTACTCTCAATAAGTTCATGGGAAAAAAATGCACACACAGGGAAAGAGAATGTACAAGGCAAAATGTTACATTTGGGAAGCCTGGTAGAGGCTATCTGGGAGTTCTGTCTACTACTTTTAAAAAGTTCACCTTCAATGACATCACTTTCAGGTCAAACCAAGTTTATCTTGCATCCATAAATGCTACTTCATTTTTATATCACAACACTTAACACAGTAGATATTGCACATAGTAGGTATTCTGCCAGTGTTTGTTTGCTTTTATTAATGATATGTAATTTGTCTCCATAACTGTCCTGCTTTGGCAGTTGTTACATTGTTTTGTTCTTTTGTCTTTTTCTCCACTATTCTGAAATCATTCATGGCAGAGACTGTAATGTCTACACTAATGTAGAGTTTCTAATTTCAATATGGTTTACTTGCACGTTACTGAATACAGATGATCACATTATTGCCAGAGAACTACTTTTATTCTTCCTACTATGGTCTTAGTATTTCCATCTGCCACTGATTGAAAGGCTCTGTCTGCCATTATGGTCTTTCCTTCTCCATTTACTGTTTCTGTGACTCATGTAGAGCTTAAGAGACATGTTAAATAGTCAATACATGGAAATACTATGACAGATTATATTCTAACAGTAATATTTGTAATAGTCCTATCTAATAAATGTTTTTTATTGTATTTTACTATATTTTCAAGCTGTGTTCTGTAGCTGTTTTTGTCATCCACCCCATCTTATTCCATTCTTACTAATACTATTAATACTTACGTATAATTTTTCTTACCCTTACACCTTTCTAACTCAGAACACTGTTTTTTTCCAGATGGTATTTTGGCAAAATGGGGAGAAAAGATGCTGAAAGATTACTTCTGAATCCTGGGAATCAACGAGGTATTTTCTTAGTAAGAGAAAGTGAAACTACTAAAGGTATGAATATTGTTATGTTGATATAAGTATAAAAATCTTCTTAGGCTATATTTTGAGAAAGATATAACAAAAGGTTTCATTTCTTCCTGCTCCACCAGGTGCTTATTCCCTTTCTATTCGTGATTGGGATGAAGTAAGGGGTGACAATGTGAAACACTACAAAATTAGGAAACTTGACAATGGTGGATACTATATCACAACTAGAGCACAATTTGAAACTCTGCAGAAGTTGGTTAAACACTACACAGGTATGTAATATTTCAAAGGTGAAAATTATTTCTTCAGTTGTATTTTATGAGGACAGAATCCATATCTTCATGTCCTTAGGTTTAGCATGTTTCTTTGCACATATGTGTTCACTGGATGTCTTTTGTTTTCTAATTTTAAAATGAGGAACAGGTAATACTTATTACCTAAATTGGGTTCTTGGATGATGTGCTAAAATCAGATTATCATCATTTGAGTCTTTATATTTTACCGGTATAGTGTTTACATTGGAGTTCCATTTCATGACAGCTAAATACGAAGATAGATTGTGACAATAAGTAAAAAGGCAAAACAAATATTTTATTTAGGGACACTTATTAAGGAGGTAAAGCAGCCCTGGCTGCTGTGGCTCAGTTGGTTGAGTGTTGTCTCATGCACAGAGAGGTCGCTGGTTCGATTTCTGATCAGAGCACATGCCTGGGTTGTGGGCTTGGTCCCCAGTAGGGGGCATGCAGGAGGCAGTTGATGGATCCATCTTCTCTGTTTTTCTCCCTTTCCCTTCCTTTCTCTAAAACCAATAAGATCATTTTTTTTTTTTAAAAAGAAGGTAAGCTAAAAACTTAAAATAAAAAGTTGTGTCAGATGTCCTTTTGGTTAACCTTCTTCTGCATGAGATGGACTACATAAGACTTCCTGAAAGTATAAACATAGTGAGATTTATTTATTAAATAAAATCTAGTGAAGATGCATTTTTCTTTTCCTAAAAAATTAAGCTATATCATTCTTCAGTTTTTCAAGGATCTTTGAAAGGTATTTAATATTAGTCTATCTCAAAAATTTTCATTGTCAATTTGATACTTGAATGCATCTGAAAGTCTTTAAATGATTAATGCTAGGGGAGGGGAAGTTCCTATGGCAATTTCTTCTTCAGTAACAGTTAGCTGCAAACTGAGTTTATCAAGTGATCCTCCAATGTTGACATTGGTCAAACATGTTGCCAAACAGTGGCATTAGTTGTAATTGCAATTGTTAGAATGCCAGTTTGCATGGTTACTTGTTGAGAATGGGAGGGAACATGTCTTATTTACAATAAGAAAGATTGTATAAGCAGAATTCACAAGTCAAGCCATTATGAATTTGGAACTCCCTGTTTTTGTGTCTCCCTTATTTAAAAATTAGTTTTTTAAAAGAAGTTTTCCCTTGATTTTTGGTGTGCTTTCTATATTAGTGATTTTTAGAAATAACAGTTAATGGTAGTGTTCTTTTTAGAAAGAAATAAAGCAGAGTAGTCAAAAGTAGAACTTTGGAGGCAGCCAGACCCTGGGTTTGAATCCTATCTCCATCATTTACTAATTGGGTGACCTTGAGAGTGTCGATGAATTTTCCAAGACTCATTTATATGAGATATCTGTAAGTTGCTGAATTAGCACAATAGCTGGGACATAAGTATTCAATACATAACTTTTTAAATGTAATTAATAAAATGTTTCATTTCTTGTGTGTTTTGCTTTTTACATACAATTTTTTTCTGTTTTTATTTTAAAAAAAACTAATAGAACATTATATTTTTGTTTTCTATAATTTCAACTTTTTAAAATATTGATACACTACATGTAACTTATTTTTTGTAAGTAAGTAATTTTACAGTATAGTTTATTCATTTACCTAGAACATGCTGATGGCTTATGCCATAAGTTAACAACTGTATGTCCAACTGTGAAACCCCAGACTCAAGGTCTAGCAAAAGATGCTTGGGAAATCCCTCGAGAATCTTTGCGACTAGAAGTTAAACTAGGACAAGGATGTTTTGGTGAAGTATGGATGGGTAAGAAGCCTGAACTTTTGTGTGTGTTTTTGTAATTGTTTTGCCATAGATAAAAATACACAATTTATGATAAGATATGTTGAAATATTTTAAGTCACTGTTGCTCATTGAAGTTTGCTAAGAATTTCTTTCAAATGTAGATCAAAATAGTAAAAGTGTTGTTTCTCTAGGAACATGGAATGGAACCACAAAAGTAGCAATCAAAACACTAAAACCAGGTACAATGATGCCAGAAGCTTTTCTTCAAGAGGCTCAGATAATGAAAAAATTAAGACATGATAAACTTGTTCCACTATATGCTGTAGTTTCTGAAGAGCCAATTTATATTGTCACTGAATTTATGTCAAAAGGTATGTGTATATAAGTCTCTTATTATCCATGTTAATACATTTTTTAAAAACAAGTCTTCAGTTTTTTATGCATACAAATTTTTGTATAGTGTTTTCTACTTTGAGATTTTTATGTAAACATTTGAAAAGAAAAAAATCTGACGTTGTGTTATTCCAAAGGATAGTACAAAGTTTAAAAGGAAAATAAGCAGGCTGAATTTATTTTGCAAGTAAATAGTCCTTAATTTCATGTGACCAAAGGAAATGGAATAGCTAGGAAAGTGAAAAAGAAAGTATTTGTAAAAATTGAATTAAAATAATTCAATCAGAAAGATATTTATATCTTTGATACTAAATCAAAGAAATTAATTTTATTTTAATATAAGCATAACCTTCATACTCAGGCATCTAGAAACATTCTTTTTTCAGTACTGTCAGCTGAAGTGTCTCCATTTTCCCAAACCCCAAGTTGGGATCTTTAGTTCCAGGGTTGGTTAGGGCCAGGATTAAAAACAAGGGAAAGTAGTTGCTCTTCCCTCCTTTTCCCTTTGCCTAATGTGCTTTAGAAGAAAAACCAGTTATAAAATATGCTGATAGGCTCCCTTTTTACCTTCTTGAATTTTATCTACATTTTAAAACTCTTTAATGAGTCACTCATCCATATTAACGGTGATTATGTCATCCCTCTCCAGTAGTCCATCTTGACCAACAATGTAGTTCCATCTAGTGGTGACAGGGTCAACTACAAGCTATACATTTGCTATGGGAAATGTTTCCCCCCCCCCTAAAAGGGATAGAAGAACCAAAAGGTTAAAATAACTCCGTAGCCTACTAATTGATAGCCAAGACATACCTAAAGCCTCAAAGCACATGGTACTTCTTGGAAGGAAGCTCTCCTGCAAACCACTGCCAAATATCCCATTTCAGAGTGCATTAGATGAACTAGAAAGGGAAGAAAAGAGACAACAAAGAGGAGGTTTAAATCAAGATATTGATAGTATAAGAATATAGGTAAAGCTAATAGCCCATTAGCTTTGTATATTGATTTCAAGAATTATTTTATTGGGGGAAGCATGGTAAAAGTCTTGTTGTCAGGTTGCTGGGTTAGGATTATTTCTAGACGGGAGATTTAGAATGTAAGGCCACAAATATCCCTTCTATTTTTTAAAATTCTGTAATTCCCCATCTTGCAGTTGGCCCTCTATAATCCATCCAAACGCATTGCCTCAAGGCTTTCACATAAATCCACTTTTCTGGCCAGAAGGGTCTTCTTGTTGCTTCTTGTTTCCATGAGTTTGTTCATGTTATTTCGTTCACCTAGAATTTGGTTTCCTTATCTCTTGACCAGTCCATCAACTGTACTTTCTTCAGACTGTACTTAAGTCGGGTTTAGGAGCCTTCCACTGATAGTCCAGTGTGTCATGATCATTATATCCTCTGCAATCTTTTCCATCAAACTACTCTAGAAGTTATTAGCAACCAGAATGTATTGAATGCTTCTAGTATATAAGGAACTCTGCTATTTATTATACGGTAGATTAAATTTGGAGAGAAAAGACCTAGACTTCTGAAGAGTTAATTTTTAGCATAAGAGTAAATAACAGTTTACTATAAACAAGTGAAGCTACAGGCCAACGCATAATAAATTTCAGTAAGTATAATAGAAATTGAGCAAGAGATTACACAGGCTGGAATAAATTGAGAAAAATTAGTAGAAAAGAAAAGTCCTGACTTGCCCTTTATGGTTATGAAGGATATGGATGTGTAAAGGGCAGAGCTAAGAGGATTGAGGAAATGAGAATCAGAACCGTAGCTAGCGAAAAGTACAGAAGTAGTAGAAGAAACTAGTTGGAAATAAGCCTAGAGAGGGGTATATGAGACAAGCTTAAGAATTGCTTTCAATTGATTTCACTATTATTTATTCAGTACTTACTGTCAGAGTTGTGAATGAGTTTTCAGGTCTATGAACTTTTTCTGAAGTTATTATGTGTCAATTTTTGCATAACTTATGTATATTTTCTGTAAAGAGTTCATAGTTTTCATCAGATTCTCAAAATAACTTATGGGGCAGAAAAAGTTATGGACCACTAGTAAGATCCAAAACATTCTATGATAAATGGATATAAGAAACATTTTAAGGGGATTGGGTATTTTTATGATTAGTTAAAGATCAGAGAACAAGAATTGTCACAATGATACAAATTCCAATCCCAGATTTCTATACTCTGCAGCTTTTGCACAAAATATTTTAGCACTTTTGTTACACTGAATGATGTTCTACTTAGAGTATTGATCAAAGAACTATCTTCTTTCTACACACTTGGTTCTGACTCTCCTTTTGCAGCCTCATTCTCATCTTTGGGCTCTGTGTTCTTGCTTCGGAAGGACTGTTTTCAGTTCCCGGAACTTACTGTGCTGTTTTATGCATTACAGACTTTGTACTTGTTATTCCCTCTTGGAATTCCCTGTTTGCCCCCATTCTTCCTTTAAGATGCATCTTCTCTGTGAAGCCTTTTCTAACTTGTCTGTAGAATTAACTATATCCACTGTGCCTCTACTGTAGTAGTTACAATAACTTTTATAACTCCTACCGTACAATATTTGTTTGCATATATTTTATAGATCTATATACTATCCTCCTATATAATAAAGAGGTAATATGCAAATTGACCCATCACACCCTCGCACAAGATGGCCGCCCACATGTGGGCACAAGATGGCCAGCATGGGAGGGCAGTTGTGGGCGATCAGGCCAACAAGGGAGGACAGTTGGGGGTGATCAGGCCGGCAGGGGAGTGGTTAGGGGGTGATCAGGCTGGCAGGCAGAAGCAGTTAGGGGCAATCAGGCAGGCAGGCGAGCAGTTGGGAGCCAGCAGTCCCGGATTGTGAGAGGGATCTCCGACTGCGGGATTGGGCCTAAACTGGCAGGACATCCCCCAAGGGGTCCCAGATTGGAGAGGGTGCAGGCGGCAGAGCCCGTAGGACTTCTGCCGAAGGAACCGGCTCGGGTGTCAGAGCAGGGGCACCGGGGCACCGCGGTGGGACACGGCATCTAACGGTCAGAGTGAAGGTGGGGCCTGGAGGAGTGGCGACGGGCAGCCGCTGGTGCTGGGCTGCTGGGCACCTCGACGTGGGCCTCGTCCTCTGGGGCTGCGTGTAAACTTCTCGGTGCAGGTGTGCGCCAGGCACAGGCGGGCCCGCCACCCTCGGGCGGCCTCTGTGAGTCCTGAGGCTGCTGGGGCGTCACAGCTGCCACGGAGGCAGGAA